TATATACCATCCCATTGTCTTCTCGTCTGTGTGGTTTCTGTCAAGAAATCTGAGCTTAGTCTTATTGGGTGCCCCTTGTAGGTAACTTTGTTTTTTCCATGCTGCTCTCATGATTCTTTCTTTGTCTTTGGTTTTGGTGAGTTTGATATATCTGAGTAATTTTCTTTTGGGGTCTGTCCTGTTTGGGGTTCGTTAGACTTCTTGAATGGATATATTCCTATCTTTCATCAGACCAGGAAAATTCTCTTCCAACAAATCTTCGACAGTTTTCTCTGGGGTCTTATTTGTCTCTTCCTGTTCTGGAATTCGATTACACATAGGTTATTCCTTTTGATGATATCCCACGTGAACTTTAGGCTTTCTTTATTTTGTTTTTATCTTTTTTTCTGATTTATCCCTTTCCAAAGAAGTGTTCAGGTATTTACCTTCAATCTCCCTAATCCTATATTCCATTGATTCAATTCTGCTCCTTTGCCCATTCAATGTCTTATCTATTTCTGAGAATTTAATCTTCTGGATTTCTGTGTGTAGATTTTGTATCATTTCTAATTTTCCATTTATTTTGTCATTTTGTACTTTTATTGTCTTTCAAAATTATTCTAGGGTTTCCTCTGTGTTTTCCTTGATCTGTCTCCCAATTTGTTGAAGATACCTAAATATAATTCTTTTGAATTCCTTATCAGAGAGTTCCAATGCTGCATCTTCCTCAGGGATGTGTTTTGGGTCTGTATCCTGGTCTCTCCTTTCTCCTGCTTTATCTTGCTTCTTTGTGTGCACTGTAAATGCTCTATTGTCTCCAAGGCATTGTGACATTTTTGTGTTTATATGTAACTGGTGATTGTATGTTGGAGTGACTGGCCCACAATTTTCATTTTCTTTGTTTTGTTTGTATGTTATCTACGCAAGCAGGGTACTGTGCTGTGCTCCTCTGTTCTCTAGTTCACAGCACTTATACACTCACCACCTGTCTCCTTTCCTGTTGTCAGCCTCTTGTATGTCCCTGCTGACCTTGGCAAACAGAGCCTATTCTTAGGTCCCTGGAATCTGAATGATAATGCTATCACTTTAAAATCCAAAATGGTTGCCACTTATAAAGATTCAAAATGGCTGTGTCCTTGGTCACTTTAAATATCCAAAATGGCTGCCACTTGTAAACATTCAAAATGGCTGCGCCCTCCAGACAGCAGAAAGACAGCAACTCAGATTGTCTCCTTGCTGTTTCCCTTCCTAGTCATAGGCCACCAGTGCAGTCGTCCCTGCAGCCCTTGGTGACCAGGGCTGATCTTTAAGTCAATTCTAAGGTCCTAACACCACTTGGAAATGTTCAGGCTGTTGGTTCCATCAGAGTAGCTGACAGTCCTTAGCTCTGACTGTCTCTGTACTCACTATTTTCGTTCAGGTTTTTCCACTGGTTGGTGCCTGATCCACTTCTGTATAGTTCCTTTCAAAGCTCAGGGCTCCAAGATTATCTTCTGTATCTCTGTCAATTGGTTTTTCTTTTCTCTGTTGAATAGGGTCTGTGCTGCTTGTCCATATTACTGGAAGTCAGTTTTCAATTTTATTGTTCATAATTTTATTGGAGTATTTGTTTCATAGTATTAGCTTTGTTTTTGTTTTCTTTATTTCCTTTCCCATAATTTTCTTTTCAGACACATTTTTACAAGGGAACCGGTTCCATGAAGCCTTGGAAAGCATACTTTCACCCCAGGGCAGTTCAAAAGAGAAAGATGAGAATCTGGAATCCGGCTACATTGAAAGTGTCCAACATGTTCTGAAAGATATCAGTGGAGTACAAGTTCTTGAAAGTGCTGTTCAACATGAAACACTAAAATATGTGGGTCTTCTGGACTGCGTGGCTGAGTATCAGTAAGTGTTAGCCTGTTTATGTATTTATTTACTTACTTATTTACTTACTTACTTAATGCAGGGTCGGACATAAGGTGCCCACCAAGCACTGCTTTTCCTCCTACTTGAAAATGTGTTTGTAGTAACTGCATTCTCTGCCTGTTTTGGTCAAAATCTGTATGATAGATTGAAAAAAAAAATAGGTGTGTGGTGGAAGGTGAAGAGAGATATCCAGGGAAGATTTTCATAATCTTTATAAATTGATGATCAGAGACCAAATCAAACTGTGAGGTCTCATTAAAGATTTTCTATCAATTAAAAAAAAATCATATTGTTTGGTAGAGAAAAAGCATAACTTTTCAGTATCCCTAGGATGGTATCTAAAGCAAATGGAAGAAATGAATTAAAAGACAGGCAGACAACGTCACTATATGTGTATTTGTATGTGCTATAAAAATGTCCACGCACAGTTTAAACATAAGAGGATGCAAAGTTAGGGTAACTTCTTAGCCACAAATAAGCACCCTGAGGAAGTGAGTCGCTGGGCCCATGGCCTGGGGACCATGGTTGTGGGGGATATCAAGCTCATTTGGCGCAACATGTATACAAAAATACTGTTCTACATCTTATTTTGGTGAGTAGTGACTGGTGTCTTAAAAACTTGTGAATGGCCATCTGAGTGACAACTATTGGTCTCTTTGCCCAGAGCAAAGAAGAGTGAAGAAAATCAAAGATGCATGGAGACAGTCCAAAGGACTAGTGGACCATGAGTACCTCAACCTACATGACCCTGAGACCAAAAGAACCAGATGGTACCCATTCAGAAAGGGATCAAAATTGAAGATCATACATAGAGTAGGGAAAAAAAGGTAGAACAAAACTCAAAAATTATAAAAAAAAAAACCGAGGCATACTGGTATGATAGAAACTGGTGAAACTGTCAGTACTGTGGTCCTGAGTCACCCTTTGGGTCAGGAATTGAAACCCCTTCCCCCACGCCAAATAAAAAAAGTACTTTTGAGGGTTTTCCCTATTATTCATATAGATTTGCAACTTTTTTGTTGTTGTTCATTGTGATGTGGGTGGAATTTTACAAAGCAGAGACATTTTACATTCAACATTTCATAAACATTCTGTTTTGTGACACTGGTTACATTCCACACAGTGTAACAGCTCTCCTCCCACTTCCTCCCTGTGGGTACCCTTTCCCTGTGTCATCCTTGCCTAGGCATTCCTGCCTCCCTACCTTTCTTCCTGTACAAATGCTGCCCTCTTATCTCCCTGGTTGATTGTTGTAAGAGTGCCTCACCTGGTATAAGGTGATATAGCTTGTAGGCCTATTTTTTGGCGAGAGTTAAGCCACAGATGGTCAGTTCCAGGCCAGAAGGGTGACTCAGAGCAATAGTCTCGGGTTTCACCAGTCTCTATCAGACCAGTAAGGCTGGTCTTTTTTTATGATACTGAGTTTTGTTCCACATTTAACTTTATTTTCTTTTTTAGTATTTGTCCACCATCTATAATTAATTAATAGCTATTAAGTTATAGTTTTTTTCTTTTTTTAAGAAATGTTACACATTAGCTCAAGTTCCCTTTAACCACCTCCTCCATCAATCACTGTGATGAATTTAATAGTATTCCATTCTACTCTATTTTTAATACACCTACAAAACAAATGTAAACACACACATTTCCAGCCCTCTACTGTTCTACTTTAGATGCATACAAATAGTGCTGTGTATGATAATACACCTGGAGCAAACTCCCATTTTACTTTCTGCATGGCACACACACAACACCATATTGTTATGCAGTGATCTGTGAGAGGCACAATTGATAGGAATCTGTAGGTATATAGTATTACAAAGCCAATAAGATAGTGGGTTCTGAAGCCAGGCTGCCTAGGTTTAGATTCTGGCTTTTCATCCTAATCTTAGGTTACTTAGCCTCTCTGTACCTGAGTTTGTTCATATTGTAGACTATTTTATCTATCACATAGGGTTTTCATAATGATTAAACCTTTTTCTTTTTTATTCTATGTAAAGTGCTTTAAAAAGGAGCTCTGGTGACATAGTGCCTAAGGCATTTGACTGCTAACCAGAAAGTTGGCGGTTCAAACCCACCAGCCACTCCATGGAAGGAAGACTGGGCAGTCTACTTCCATAAAGATTTGCCACCTCAGAAACCCAAAGAGGGTTACTATGAGTTGGAATCGACTCGGTGGCAGTGAGTTTTTGTTTGGTTTTGTTTTCTGGTTTTTTTTTTAAGTGCTTAAAATTCCTTGGTTATGTTCAGTAAATGTTAGGATGTTAGCATTATTATTTGGATACATTTCTCTCGTTTTAATTGTTGTTTGTTATTCCTTTCTATGAATGAACCATCTCAATTTCCATTCAAATTATTTCTAGTTTTTCACAATTAAAAACAGTGCTACGGTGAGTGTGTCTCCTTATATACTATTGTGAGAGTTTCTCTAGACAGATGCACAGGGTTCGTTTGTGTTGTTGCTGTGTAGTTGCTGGTGGGTGATAAATGCACTCAGATAGATAAACTGAGCTGAAGGGAACCAGAGCATGAGGGCTGCTTAAGTTTCCCAGACCATTATCACTTGTGCACAGGATATCAAACCATTACTCTCAGGTGTATACCTGGAAGAGAAGTGTCTGGGTGAAAGGGTGTGTACATTTTAAATGCTTATAATAGAGATGAGTATACTTATTCATGAACATTTTCAACAACATACTATAGCAGTCTTGTTAACATTGTATCTTTTAATTTTAATCTGTATTTCTCATGAGACTGAACATCTTTTCTGTTCTCTTAAGAGCTATTTGTAGATTGTTTTAATGTTTTTTTCCTCATTAGTGAATTTACAAGTCATATTACCTTGCTATGAACAGTGGTCCATGGAAGAAATCTTTAGGGTATCTCAATTTTGTCAAGGTAGAAAACTGAGAATGGCAGCTTCCTAGAGGTATTGAAGCCCTTTCCTTATTTGCATAGATTGTCAGACTTCGCATTATTACAGAGACAGTGATAATATTACAAATATAAAGATAGTAGGGTTACTTCTAGAACTGCACTGTCCAATAGAGTAGCCACTAGCCACATAGGGCTACTAAGTACTTAGTGACTGATCCTGAAAGGTGCTATAACATAAAATGCAAACTAGATTCCAGTGACTTAGGAAAAAACTGGTGTAAAATATCCTGTTAATAACTTACATTTTAATAGAAACTGTTGAATTGGTATATGTAGTAAACTGGGAAAAAAGAGAGTTAACCTCAACAACAACAAAAACAAATTATTTTAAAAAATAACTTATACGTTGTTGTTGTTGTTGTTGTTATGTGCCTTCGAGTCAGTTCCAACTTATATGTAGAAATGATAATATTTTGGATATGTTGGGTTAAATCAGTATTAACATTTCACCTGTTCCTTTTTTCTTTTTTGATGTGGCTACTAGGAACGTTAAGATGACATATGTGGCTCACATTTTATTCCTTTGAGATAGTGCTGCTCTAGACTGATCCTATAAGTAGCTTGTATAACCCTCTCTGTAGTTAGATGACAGGTAAGTAACATATCCATACTTTGTGCAAAGTCTCCCTACAAATTGTCACAAAAGACAGATTAATAGACCCCTTAGAGAATCACATTATCAGTCCATTTCCCTACAATCCTTTTGATCTCTACAGTTAGCTAGTATAAAATGCAACCAGAATGGGGTAGTGGAGAGGAATGCCCTGATTATTTGGCCAAAAAAGAAAAAATAAGAGTGGTAAGAATATTAAAATTTTCCCACTGTCCCTAACAGTAAGACATCCTACCCTGTGTGTTAACTGTAGGGCAAAGACCAGGTCTCGTTTTTCATATTTTTACACATAGTTGGTGCATATTAAAAGTTGATGGGTTTTAAACCCACCTTTTGTTTTTGAGTAAGAGAATTTCTAAAGCACCATGGTACTTAATCATTCATGGTAGTTACTTTACTACTGGCCTGTTGTGCTTTACTCTGATGGGCATTTGAAGCAAAATCAACTAAGACAGTAATAGATGTAATTTCGATTTCCCTGTCAACTGTTAAAAGAAAGGAAACTTTGGCAGACCAGAGGAATTGTGAGAAAGCTTAGAAACATGAACTGCAGGACGCTTTCCCAGTATACCCATGTGGGCTGCATCTTTAGCTCTTTCTTGAAGTCAAGAAGTAGTTTATATCCTAGCTTCTGACAGGTTTATCACTGGTCTGAATCAGAGAGTCAGAAGAAAGAGCATTTTGCCTTCCTAATCCTAAAATATAAAGCCCAGGGAGCTATCTTAGGAAAGTAGAAAACAAGCAATGGTTTGCACTGAGTGACAAGTAGTAAACTGGGTAAGAAGAGAGTTAACCTAAATAAGAATTGTCAGTTTAAACTATTATCTGCAAATAATTCCTTTGGTTTTTCCTTAGGGGCAAGCTGTGTGTGATTGACTGGAAGACATCGGAGAAACCAAAGCCTTTCATCCGAAATACATTTGACAACCCCCTACAAGTTGTGGCGTACATTGGTGCAATAAACCATGATGCCAACTATAGCTTTCAGGTTGGGACACTGAGCCTCTACCTACTTAAAAGCCAGGCTCAGTGCTTCTTTGTAGCTACTGAACTCCTTATGGTTTTTACTCTGCTTGCATTGCACTTCCTACTCTGCTCCTTGACCTTCTACCACTTTAAAAAGTACTTTCTTCCCCCTCTTTTTTTTTTTAAATCTTTAATGATCACAGTCGATTCTTCAGTGCCTTACCTGTCATCTTTGTGTTTTTATGTGTCCTAGGTACAGTCTTTCATTTACCCATCTTAGAGATTGAATTAAGAGATATTGTAGGTTGCTTTGTTCTGATTGGGTTTGCCCTGGAATAAGAAGAAAATGAGCATAAACTGTGAACTTAATGTAGAAATACTGAAAGTACCATGTGTTTCTTCTTAGGTTGAGTGTGGCTTAATTGTGGTGGCCTACAAAGATGGGTCTCCAGCCCACCCACACTTCATGGACACGGAGCTCTGTTCTCAGTACTGGTCCAAGTGGCTTCTTCGATTGGAAGAATATACAAAGAAGCAAAAGAACCAGAATATTCAGAAACCAGATTAGAGGACAGGATGCCCTTTGGGAACATTTAGTACTTTCAAATTTGGGAAGATATATTGCTGTTTATTGTAATTTAAAAATGGAGGTGCTTAGAATCGCTGCATTAACCTAAGTGGAAGTATTCGTGTGTTAGAATGTCTTGTAACATTACTGAATTACTGAAAAGCCACAAATGTTTAGATTTAAAGAGCTGGACTCAGCCCATGAAATGCCAACTATGCTACCTCTAACTGTTTACGTGAAAGAGGCCAAGATGGATTAGCACACCATTAGTGATTCTCGGGCACCTCTGTACTATCTCTGTCCTGGGCAGGGATGCTCCAGTCTTTGAATCAGAGATTGAAAGGCAGTGAAGCTTGGTGTGTCAAGTATACAAACAGAGAACCTCTGTTTTCCCTGAGGACACACTGCTGGAGGGAAGAGACAGGTACCTACAGTATGTGGGTTGGGGGGGAACTCCGATTAGCCAGTTGCTATGCCAACACAGTTTCCTTGGAACTTGTTTTATATATTAGGTTCTTCATGTTTCATTTTGGGAGAAAGTCTTCCTATAAATGCTTTTTAAAATAAGTGATTACATAGCACCAAGTAAACATTACTGTCTGGGAAGATGGAGCATATTCACCATGTTGTTGGCAATATCCCTCAACATATCACCAAACAAACCCCAGAAGTAGCCAAACCCTGCTTTGAGGATTATAATTGTAGATATTTTAGTAACTATGCTGGCTTGATTCAATGCATCATATACATAGAGAAAATCTGTTATTTGTGGAATTTTCCGCTATGGAGGAACAATAATAATTTGTATGTATGTGTTTCGTAGGTAATAAAAATTATTAGTTGCTGCTGGTTTAGGAAACTTAAATTACTGCCTACCATAGCCCTGGGGGAGGGTTCCATGCTTTATAGAGTGAGTCTGTTAGCATTTAAATTACTGTTGCTATCTTAAAATAGTAAACTACTTTTTTCTTTCTTTTGCCTTTATAAGAAAGAAAACACAAGATGAAGAAAGTTATGAGGCTTCTGGCTTTGTTTCTTTTCATTTAAATTATGTGTTCATAGAACAATTTATAAAGCTAGAAATTACATTTTCTTTTTACATTTAAAATTTTACCACTGGCCCATTAGCCTTGGTCTGTGTTATATGTGAATGCATAAAAGAAGGAGGCGTCTTCACTAAGCTCTCAACTATGAGCATTTGGCAAGGAAAGTAAGATTCAAGTAGGAGGGGAGGATGGAAGGAGAACTTTGTATTGACTCTTCTGTATTCCTGTTTTTTTTCAAGCATATATTCCTATAGCCTGTCATTTCCAAAATAAAACATCAAATGAGACAATAACAATTAATAGTTGTAGCAACAGATTTTGCCACACTGCTGTAGTAAGCCTCCCTGTAGACTTGGGAGACTGTTGTCAGCTGCTGTGGAGCCCATGTCATGACAACCCCATGCACAATAGGATCCACATGGTTGTGAGCCACAGAATTTTCATTGGCTGATTTTCAGTAGATTGTGAAACCTTTCTTCCTAGTCCTGCTTAACCTGGAAACTTCACTGATACCTGTTCAGCATCCTAGCAAAACACAAGCCACCACTGACAGTGGTAGCTGCATATGAGGTGCGTTGGTTGGGACTTAAACCGAGATTTCCCACATGGAAGGTGAGAATTCTATCTCTGAACCACCACTGCCTTCCTTGAAGACTTGTGGCTGTCAGGTTGATTCTAATTCACGGTGGCCCCATATGTGCAGAAGTAGAACACATCATGGGTTTTCCACCCAGAAGCAGATTGTCGGGCCTTTCTTCAGAGTTGCCTTTGGGTAGATTTGATTCTCCATCCTTTTGGTTAGTAATTAAATGCTTAACTGTTTGTACCACCTAGGGACTCCACTTTGTCAAACTAGACCCAGCAAAACTTCATTTTAATACACTTCTGTTGGTGAATATAAATTGACCTTGGCCTTTCTACTATAAAAGGAGTCTCTTCCAAATTAATGGTGGCATAAAGGAAAGACCCTCAAAGTCTGACCAGGAAGTCTTTATATGCTTGGCATGAGAACACAAGGGTACACTGACTTCTCACTACAATTGTGAGGCTCCTGAGATACCACCAATTAAAGAAACTTCAACCGCCTAAGAGGAAATGCCAATTCAAAAGTTTTTGCTGCTTGGACATAATTAGTCCAAGGGACCAGTGCACCATGTGATCCTTAGCCTATACAGCTATGAGAACAGAAGAACTAGATGGTGCCAGGCTACCACTGTCAACCACTCAGAGGGGCATTTGTGTAGGAGATCCTGGATGGAGTAGGAGAACAATGTGGAACAAAACTCAAAATCATAAAAAAAATGCCAGGTTTGTTGGTCTCATAGATCCTGGTGGAACCCCTGAGACTATGGCCCCTAGCTGCCCTTCAGGTCTGGAATTGAACCCACTCCTGTGGCTTCCAGCCAAACAAGACAGGCATGTGAGCTGAACATTTACATTAGGTAGATAAACTCCTTGGAGAGATCAGTCATGGGAAAATAGAAGGGCTATGTATGCACAGGGAAACAGCTCTGGAGACAGGAGTCCATGGGACAGAAGGATACAGGGAGGTGTTAGGGAGAAAAAGTGTGTAGAAAGCTGTTGCATTGTGGGAGATTGCAGTCAGTGCCATGAGACAAAGTGTGAACTGCTGTATGGAAGATGAATTTGGTCTGTAAACTTTCACCCAAATCACAATAAAATATAAAAAGAAAGAAAAAAAAAGTTATTGCTGCTAAGGCACAGAGATGAAAGCCAAATCAGATTTTAAATGAGTACAATTTTTCAAAAATGGATGTGTATGTTACTAATACTTAAATATCACCTCTTCACCTAAGGGAGATAAGGCATATTAAACTCCAGAGCAATGAAATGGAGGATTTGCAATAAAAAGAGTCTCTACTTGAGCAAATTTTTTTTTTTTTAAGAAAATATATAAATTGGTCTTCTGTAAAGACTTCCTCACAGAAGTTCAGAATGTAGCCCTATAGTCTTTAGTGTTGAGACACTCCTTTAATTAGATTCAGAGTTCTCTGCAGTTCTGTCTTCTACAACTCTACCCATTCTTAGTCATGCATTTAACCCCTGACAAAAGCTCTGTGCTGGCATTGAATAGCAATTTTCAGATTTTTTCCAAAACTGAAGTTCTTCCCTACTAGCAGACCTGGCCTCTCCCTCAGAGCAATCGTTGTATGCCATCAAACCAGTTCCAAGTCAGCAATCCTATAGGACAGAATAGAACTGCTCCGTAGGGTTTCCTAGGCTGAAATATTTATGGGAGCAGATTGCCAGGTCTTTCTTCCTCCTGAGCTGCTGGTGGGTTTGAACTGTTAACCTTTCTGTTAACAGCCAAGCATTTAATCATTGTGCTACCAGGTCTTTAAGAGCCATTAGCCCCTAATAATCTGAGAACAATAACTTCAATAAACCTATTGTAGTTCTAAGAAAACTTGTCAACATATGACATGATTTTTCTATGTGTGAACCCTGAAAAATACAGAAAGAGGGTTAGTTAGAGGTCAGTGTGTTTTTAGGAAATCAGTTTGTCTGATTTAGGAGATTTAGGTGCCATCAAGACATCTTTGGCTCACAGCAACCCTGTGTATAACAGGCCTAGACCTGTGCCATCCTCACAGTAGGTATATTTGAGCTGTTGTTGGCAGCCCCATATCTTGAGGGTCTTTCTCTTCTTTGTTGACCCTCAACTTTACCAACCATATCCTTCTCCAGGGACTGGCCCTTCCTGATAACACGTCCAAAGTAAGTAAGACAGTCTTGCCATCCTCACTTTTAAAGGAAATTCTGGCTTTACTTCTTCCCAGATTTGTTCATTCTTCTAGTGGACTATGGTGTATTTAATATTCTTCAATTTTTAATTCAAATGTGTCAATTCTTCTTTATTCTTCCTTTTCCATTGTCTAGCTTTTGCGTGCATATGAGGTGACTGAAAAGGCCATGGCTTGGGTCGGACACATCTTAGTCATCAAAGTTGACATCTGCTTTTTTAAGATTTTAAACAGGTTTTTTTCTGGCAGATGTGTCCATGCAGTATGTCACTTGATTTCTTGACTGCTGCTTACATTGCCCAAACATGCAATCAGGATGTGTTAATTATCACT